AGACGTCTACAGTAAGCCCCGCCCTTTCCTCTGATTATACAGTGTATTTCTATATCAGCCAATCAGAATCCAGAGTTTTTCCTCATCTCCTTCTCTCCAGGTGTGTCTAAGCCAGGTGAGGACGAGGGTTTCGAGGATCCCCCCAGCCCCTGCCCCGAAGACTACAGCCAGTTCTGTGAGAACGGGGAGTGTGAGATGAGACACAACCTGCCCACCTGCAGGTACAAACACACACACACACACACACACACATTACGTCATCGTACAGTGTGACGTCTTTTTCAGTATGTTCTGCACAAGTGCGTGCTCTCTCTCTCTCACTAAAAAAAAAAAAAGAAAAAAAAAAACAGCCCTTTAAGAGTGTACTGGCCCTTTAATGGCGCGTTTCCACTACAGCCCGCAGCCCGGTTTAAGAGGGCTGTGACGTCAGCGGCCCGTCTTTGGTTGCGTTTCCACTTGGCCTAGTACCGGCCGGCGGGTCCTAATTCACAGTTTTTCTGGCCTCATAAAATCGCGGGTCTAGGGCCAGAGACAACGAGGCTGAGTCGGGCTGAGTATGCTAAACTAGAGAGAGCGTCGCTGGCAAGGGGGCTACAACTACAACAAGATGGACATATTTGACCGTGATTTAATTGTAATACACGTTTCAAAATGATGAAGTAACAACATACTGATACCGGTTCGTAAAAACCATGAATTAATGCTTTGACAAGTCTGCAGACAGACGGCAGGAGAAACACCTTTTAAAATGCTTGTTTTCTAAATGGAGATTGGCTAAGCTAACGCAGTATATGCTCCGACCGTCCACACTCACAACAACGGCCTATACAGACATAAATAAAGCAGCGACTGTATTCTCCATGACACAGGCAGTCTGTGGTTTGTACTTGTTTAACTTTGTCTAGTTTCTGAACAGATATGAGGAGCTGTGAGCTCTGAGTGCTAACAGCTAACGGCTGTGTTGTTTTTCTGGGGTCCTCTGAAGATCACGTCACGGCTCCGCCTACACTGCGTTACTATAGATACTGCCCCAGTTCCTAAACTGTAATGGAAATGCGCCATAAAGTGAGCCAGTCCTAACGAGGCCCAGCCATACCGAGCGGGGCCGAGCGAGGCCGTGTAGTGGAAACGCGGCATAAGAGTCTTTAAGCGTGTACCGGCCCTTTAAGAGTGTACCGGCCCTTTAAGAGTGTACCAGCTTTTTAAGAGTGTACTGGCCCTTCAAGTGTTCATTTTTTTAAATAATACAGTGTTATATATTATTTAGATTATAACTGTTTTATGCCTTATCTATTACAACCTCTCCATAAAAAAAACCTTTGATCATGAAATACCTGTGTTGAGACATATGTCAACATGTGAATAATGTGTGTGTGTGTGTGTGTCAGGTGTGAGGCAGCGTACGGTGGTCCTCAGTGTGATCAGCTGTTAGACTTCAACATCCTGTACGTGGTCCCCAGTGGTCAGAAGCTGCATTACGTCCTGATCGCTGCCATCATCGGAGCCGTGCAGATCGCCGTCATCGTGGCCGTCGTCATGTGCTTCACCAGGTAACAAATACTACAAGTACTACAGATACTGCAAATACTACATATACTACAAATACTACAGATACTACAAGTACTAACCCCAACACAGGAGCAGTGTGAGGTTCAGAAGCTTGATTACTGTACCGGCCCTTTAAGAGTGTACCGGCCCTTTAAGAGTGTTCCGGCCCTTTAAGAGTGTACCGGCCCTTTAAGATTGTACTGGCCCTTTAAGAGTGTACCGGCCCTTTAAGAGTGTACCGGCACAAGTACTACAAATACTACAAGTACTACAGATACTACAAATACTACAAATACTACATACAGTATTCTACAGATACTACAACTACTACAGATACTACAAGTACTGACCCCAACACAGGAACAGTATGAGGTTCAGAAGCTTGATTACCGTACCGGCCCTTTAAGAGTGTACCGGCCCTTTAAGAGTGTACCGGCCCTTTAAGAGTGTACCGGCACAAATACTACAAGTACTACAGATACTACAAGTACTACAGATACTACAAGTACTACAAGGTGTTGTGATCAGAGGAAACTGTGTTTAGAGTCCACAACTAACATGTTTATTGCCACGTAAACAACAATATGTTAAAAATATGTAAAAACTTACCTAGAAATCTTTAAAAATGTAGAAATCACTTCATTATTCCAGTGTTTCCAGTCCGTACTGCAGTGACACCCCTCTGCCAGCGGGGGGCGCTCAAACTCTATCCGAAAAAACACAAACTAGTGTTATTTTTTTTAAATAATACAGTGTTATATATTTAAACTATAACTGTTTAAGGCATGATCTATTACAACCTCTCCATAAAACAACCATTAATCATGAAATACCTCTTTTTTAGCAGTTTATTCCATGTTTTTGGTGTAAAAAGTGTTATTTATGAAGCGTGTTCTTGACGTGTTGTTCCCGTGTTTCAGGCGGTGTAATAAATCGAAGCGTGGCCGAAGACAGAAGCAACATCTCAGCCATTTTCAGTCGGGAACGTCCTCCCGGATGATGTAGCCCGTCCTCCAATATCATGTTTTTACAAAATACCAGGATTTTTCGTACCACAGACTGACTGCTTTTTTGATACCTCGACTTTTTGGTGCCTCTTATTTTTTCCCTTTTTTAAAGTATTTTTTGAATTCCTTAAGGGGCCTTATTTTGAAATGTTTCTCCATGTTTTTTTATTTTTTATTATCGCTGTCTGCAGAGGTTTTTATTTTGGGAAACACTGTGGATCCTCCGGCAGGAACTTTATTTATCTGATTGTATCTCTGGACGGTCCAGTTCTGACCCAGTGCGACGCAGGATCAGAACTGGACCGTCCAGTTCTGACCCTGTGCGACGCAGGATCAGAACTGGACCGTCCAGTTCTGATCCAGTGCGACGCAGGATCAGCACTGGACCGTCCAGTTCTGATCCAGTGCGACGCACAGACGCAGGATGTCCTCATGCTTTCATTTGGAAGGAATGCAGAAAAAGTCTTCATTTAAATAACGACTGAATTCAAATCTAGCTGATACAATACATTAAAAATACAGTTTTAAGTCAGAAATATAGAATCTGTGCATCTGAAAATGATCAACCAAGTAATATATGTTGTATATTATAAACACATTAGGTATTAACTAGTGGTTTATTTAAAAAAAAAAAGGGATTTTAATTAATAACATCATTATCTTATTGCTTCTATAGTTAGAAATAACCTTTAAAATGCTGAATAAACCCACAGATAAGCTACATTTCTCTAAATAACGACTTATTTCTCCTGTTTACGTTGTGTAATAACGCCTTCCACCACAAGGGGGCGATGTTGTGTGTCTCTGCGTCTCACAGGGTGGAAAATAATCCCGTTATTTTACGTTGTGTTTTTGTTACGATGAGACGCACCTAAAAACCAAAATGCTGTTTTTTCTACCGCTCCATTCCGGAAATGGATCCCAATGCTGTTGCTGTTGTTGTTGTTGTTGTTGTTGTTGTTGTTGTGATAATTTAACAGTTTTATTTGGTCAGTTTCTGCTTTTTTTGATATATAATTTGTAACGATGGTACGAAGTGTCCGTGTGTTTGTGGTAGTGAACTGGACTGGGGTCAGATCTAAGGTCCAGATGTTTAGATGTACTGCATGAGCCGTGATGTTAGCAATGTTCTGTAGAGGAAGTAGAATTAAATTATGTTTCAAACACGTGTCTGTTTTCTCACTCTCAATAAGTCTAAAATATTAAATTACATATATTACAGTTTGAGGTGAAAGACGAGCGCCCCGTGATCAGGGTCACAGATTCTCATCTAAGGTTATTCTGGTTCATTTACATATCAATCAACAGCTAGTTACATCATTCAACCTGTTTTACAATAATGAGTAGGGATGCTCCGATCGCCGGAATCAGTATCGGCCGATACCGATCGTATAATAAAACGTATAAATATACCTTATATAGGTATGGCCCTACAATATATCATTCAAATATAGCATGATAGGTCCACTTTAAGTCACACAGAGGTGATGCAGTCCCTCAGACGGCCACAAGGTGTCCCTGTTTCCTGCATTGAAACTGCCACACAGAAACTCAGTGCCACTTCTTCAGATTGAAATCATATTGCAATGTATTTAATTAACCCTTCATGGGTTTCTGTATCCTTGTGTCTTTAACAGAGTGTGTCCATGTGTGGGTTAGGGTTAGATAAAACCAAGATTTTCTATGAGCTTTTTATTGGTGACCCCCCCCCCTTTAAGTGTTCTTTTAATCTTTAGAATGTATTCACTTTTATATTGATATGTTTGTTAGGTTTTATGTGATTTATTTGTATTAATTTATTTTAAGTTAGTCCTAAATATAGGTGTGATGGCAGCATCATTACAGGCAGCAGCTGCAGGAGGGTTTTAGACGGGGGGGAAACCCCTTCATTCTCCATCCTTCCTCACCTCCTCTTCCTCACCTCCTCCTCCTCATCATCAGCTGTTCCTCAAGGTCACCTGAAAATAAAAAATGACAAGGGGAGTGGGTAAATGAATAAAAAGGGATATCTTTAGAAAAAAACTTTTATTGGTGACCCCCCCCCCCCCCCTTTAAATAGCCTTTTATTCTTTATTATTTCTTAATTTTTATATTGTTTTATTTCTTTATTTTATAGGTTTTAATTTATATTATTAATTTTACAAGTGAATTCCTACATCCCCTCTTTTATTTTATTATTTTGTAAACTTTGATCTATCTTTTCTGATGGAATTCATGTTTCAGACTTATGCTTTGACTGACAGCTGTCTCACCCAATCACAGTGTTTGCTGCTCCTCCCAGGCTCCTCCCACTTGTCCCTCCATCCCCAGGACTTCCTGTTGAACCCGATCCTCTCATTGGTTCTAAACCTGGAGGGGAGGGGTTAACACAGAACAAGTGAAAAGGTGATGATGGTATCTGAGGAGGGGGGTTTCCATTTCTTTTTATAAACTCATCCACGCGCACGCACGCACACACACACACACACACACACACACACACACACACGCACACACACACACACATACACGCACGCACGCATACACACACACACACACGCACACACCCGCACGCACACATACACACACACACACACGCACACACACGCACGCACACATACACACACACACGCACGCACACACACACGCACACGCACGCACACACGCACACGCACGCGCACGCGCACATACACACACGCACGCACACACACACGCACGCATGCACACACACACATTCCTGTCATATATCTAATTTCGGTGATTGACAGGTAGAACGTGAGACTTTGTCAGGACTTCTTTTTTTTGTTGAAACTCTCTGATTGACAGGAAGTCAGTGAAGTTCTCAGGACCGTTTTAAGTTGGAATAAGACCCCGACTTCAGAATGTACCCCTGCATTGTTGAAATTAAACATGGTGTTTCTGTTTTTAGCCTCCCCCCCTCCCTTTCCCTCCCCAGAGTCAGGGTGGAGTCTTTGGGCTCCAGTAGAGAGAGGGAGGGTCTCCTTTCACCAACTTTCTTCTCTTTCTGATCCTCCTTCTCTTTCTCCGGACCCCTCGATGCCTCGAAGCCTCTCTCCTGCTCACAGCCTCCACATCTAGGTGATCTTTCCAGGGTTCCCTTCCTTCCCCTTCCTCCCTGATAAAACCCACCAAACCATGACCGATAAGAGTGTCCCGTCCGGAGGGGATGACGCCTCCAACATCATGGCGCTTCTGGAGCGAGTCGCCGGGCTCATGGACAGCGTTCAAACCACGCAGAAACGCATGGAGGAGCGTCAGCTGGACCTGGAGAGCACGGTGAAGAACATCCAGACGGACGTGGTGAAGCTGACCAGCGACCACGCAAACACCAGCTCCACCGTGGACCGACTGCTGGAGAAAACACGGAAGGTCAGCCGACACGTGAAGGACGTCCGCGTGAGGGTGGAGAACCAGAACGTGAGGGTGAAGAAGGTGGAGGCGACGCAGGGAGATCTGCTCGCCAAGAACAAGTTCAAGGTGGTCATCTACCAGGTAGGAAACGTCTGAGTCACACCTGCTGTGTTTCACCTGTAGCTTCAGGACTGGGAAAGATGCTTCTAATGGAGACCTGTTGGCCAAGAACAAGTTCAGGTGGTCCTCTACCAGGTAGGAGATCTCACAACTAGAGATGGTTTAAAGAACCAGGGTTACCTGTAGCTTCAGGACTGGTATTTGGATTTTTAACATGGAGAGGAAGACTTCATTTATTAAGCTCCAGATATCTGGAACAAACTACCAGATCCAGACTAGCAATCAAGACCAACTTCACGAGGAATAAAGTGGGTTTTCAGGTCAAAAGAATCCACTGAAAACGACTTCTAACGGTCGAAGGATAGGTTTTAAAGAACCAGTACAACATGTAGCTTCAGGACTGGTAAAACTACTTCTAATGGAGACCTGTTGGCCAAGAACAAGTTCAGGGTGGTCCTCTCCCAGCTAGGAAACACACCTGGGGTCATTCTGTGCTAGAGAGGGTTTACAAAGGGGAGATTAAAAGGGAGATTTTGGAAGCCTCCAAAAGCTCTTAGAAGCAGCCAATATCCATAGAAACCTTCAGAAAGACAAGCTAAGATCCAGACTAGCGATCAAGATCAACTTAATGAGGAATAAAGTGGGGTTTCCAGTCATAAAACCCCCCTAACCCACTTTAAAAAACACCCTAAGGGGTCAAAATAAAGAGGGATATTAAAGTAAAATGGGGCCAATCCAAAAATCAAACCCACAAGGACTCAACCTTAAATTGAATCTGATTAACATGGAGAGGAAGACTTCGTTTATTAAGCTCCAGATATCTGGAACAAACTACAAGATCCAGACTAGCAATCAAGACCAACTTCACGAGGAATAAAGTGGGTTTTCAGGTCAAAAGAATCCACTGAAAACGACTTCTAACGGTCGAAGGATAGGGTTTGAAGAACCATGTCTTGTGATGATTCAAAGTTTATCAATTAAACCTCTGATCCATAACCTCCAGAAAGACAAGCTAAGATCCAGACTAGCTACTAAAGAGACTTCTAATGGTCTAAGGGTGTCTAGGATTTAAAGAACCAGGATTACCCGTAGCTTCAGGACTGGGAAAGAGACTTCTAAAGCTCGAAGGATAGGTTTGAAGGAACCAGGTCTTGTGATGATTCAAAGTGTATCAATCAATCAATCAAGGTGTATTCATACAGCCCAATATCACACCTTTCCCACAGTCTCAGGGGGCTTTACAGGTAAACAACCCCTCAAAGAAACCCCCAGTTAACGAGGGGAGAAATGTTAGAAACCTCGGGTGCAGATATGAGATTCTGTTGAACCTAAACCTCCCTGAACACAATCTAAAAAGAGGCTAACCCTAACACACGTGGAGTCTACCTCAAACTGAATATAGTTAATACCCGTATGAAGCCACAGAAAACAGGCTGTATTTGAGGCACCTGGCTTTACTACACGCCTTACATTACACCTGCTGTATAACTGTATTATACGTTCCTGTGTAGCAGTCAAACCGTTGGACTGAGGAGGTGAACAGCGCCAGTGGACAGATGATGTGGATCAGCTGGTTAATAGAGTTAGTCTAAAATAACCTGGGACAGTTTTTTCCGCAGAGTCGACGAACCTCTCTGACCTCCATGCTCAAACTAAATAAGTGAGATCCCAGGTTTGGTGCACATTAGAGGGTCTCTGCAGTGGTGGTCTGTTAAATGGTCTGTTTCCTGGTTATCCTGACGGTGAGATATAATCACATTTCTGAACGCTGCTGTCATCTCTTCTGGATCATTTCATTGGATTTTTCTACAACATACTTTCAAAAAGTCCAATATTTGCAGATTAGATCTATGGAAACGTTCAGAAAGATGCTTCCCAACACAGTTAGCATCCAGCCGAGCAACCAACATCAACTTCTGGCCAAATAAAGTGGCCTTTCCACCCATAGTCATTAAACCCCCAAAATCCACTTATAAAAACACACCGAGGGTCAACATGAAAAGAGAGATGAAAGAAAAATGGGCCAATCCACAACTAAACACACAAAGACTCTACTTTAACATGGAGAGGCTGATATTCAGTTATTAAGCTATAATATATATATAATATAATTCAGTTATTAAGCTCCATTATCTGGAACAAACTACCAGAGACCTGCAGGATCCAGACGAGCAATCAAGACCAACTTAAAGAGGAATAAAGTGGCAGAAAACACTAAAACTCCTCAAAATCAGTCCGTTTGTTTTTACATTTTGCTTTCAGGGTTTGGTGTTTCTCCAACTCTTTCTCTAAAGACCAACTTAATGAGGAATAAAGTGGGGTTTCCAGTCATAAAACCCCCCAAAATCCACTTTAAAAAACACCCTAAAAAGGGTCAAAATGAAAAGGGAAATGGGCCAATCCACAAGGACTCTACTTTAACATGGAGAGGCTGATATTCAGTTATTAAGCTCCAGATATCTGGAACAAACTACCAGAAACCTGCAGGATCCAGACGAGCAATCAAGACCAGCTTAAAGAGGAATAAAGTGGGTTTCCCACCCGTAACGCAGACAGAAATCCACTTAGAAAACACACTTAGGGGTCAGAATGAACCTCACATGAGCACTGCTGAAGGAGGGAAAGCCCCAGTGTGTTTCCCATCAGTTTCAGTCAGAGACGTTTCTTTTAGAGCTCTTATTGAAATAGCTCTCCGGCCTCCAGCGAGCAGCTGCTGGTTATTTTAGCTCTGGATGGACGTCAGAATGCAGAAACGTTACACCGCTGAGCTCAAGAGGCTTTCATTCATTATCAGCCTGTTAGTCTAGAATATATACGTGTGAGTTGAGGTAATGCTCTCAGATGTGCTTTGAGCCTCTGCAGTGACTTACTGGTTGGTGCAATGTGATTGGCTGTAGTTTACGGGACATTAGCATCATAAACATTTGATATCTAATCTTATATATATAGAGTGGTGCAGTGACGCGTCCTAAGACCTGGAAGTAAGCTCCCTCCGGTTCCTTGGACAAAAACGCAAAGCAGTGTCTCCATAGGGTTTAGGAGAGTAGCTGGAAATCAGGTCTGTGGTTGAGACGCATTCAAGAGACGGATCACCTTTAGTTCAGCCGGATCATCTCCACACGTCTACTTTTATAATGTTCTAATCATAAATCTAATGTCCAGAAGCTAAATGCTAATGTGATGCTATAAAGGAGCTACAGGCGAGTCCAGCAGCACGACTTCAACGTCACGCCAACTTCAGATCCATATTCAAACACACAGATTCTAAATGGTACGAGTTGAAGCGTTTGTTTGAACAGTTAGCAGGAGGCAGGTACTTGCTTTCAAGCAGAACAGAAACTAACTTAGAGGAGTGTTTACGTGTTCGGCGTAATGACGTACAACGTCCTCCACGACTTCTGTAGTCCTATTCAGCCACTTGGTAACAACCATCGCTTCTCAGACACGTCAACTCTTCAGAAATCACCAGAGGGGTCACTGCTGATGGATTTAATGTCCTAGAACAAAACGTGACCCGTCTCTTCAATGCGTCTCAACCACAGACCTTATTTCAGCTATCTTCAACATCCTATGGAGAGATCCCATTGGCTCTGAGACCAGGGAACAGGAAGTGGTGAAATGCTGACTCACTTCCTGGTTTTAGGACTCATTCCTGCACCACTCTATAATAACTTGCTTTATATTTGTTACTGTACATTTGTAATTTAACATGTATATTTCTAGTCTTTTCATTTCTCTAATGTCTTTCTATGCTGCTGCAACTCAAACCTTTCCCACATTGGGATCAATACAGCATCTTAACTTATATCAATGCTCTAAATACCAAAAGGAGAATGAAACCCATTTGAAGAAGCTGTTGTTATGACGTAGCATTATAGGTTAACGTAGCTTAGCTCTAAACCAACACACTGGCTCTAAATGTGAAGATTTAAAATGCTAATTACATCCAGGTAATGTTTTATATTTGGAGGATGTAATAATATTTAATAATACATTGGCTTTTTACAGCGCTTTTCCTAATGCTCAAAGACGCTTTACATCAAAGTTCAATATAGAAAACACATATCTCCGTCCTGTGAGAGCGATGCTATCTCCGAGTCGTTAGCATGCTAACGGTACGTTTTCACCATGATAGCATCAGGAAGCTAAGATGCTAAAGCTCTGATATATTGAAATGAGCATGTTAGCATGTTAGCATTGGGCTGTAATGCAGTCATCTGTAGGTGTGGCTTAGTGTCTGTAATGTAGAGTCTGGCTGCAGGGCTAATGCATGCTACGTGGTGAGTTCATGGATGCTAAAGATGATTAAAACGACTCAAAATAGGGTTCAAAATGTTCCTTATTGGACAATATCTGCACATTGTGATCACCACGTGGTTTCAGCTGGAGAAAGATGAGTCTTTCTGGTTATAAAAGCATCATACATCCAGACTGTACCTCCTTAATAACCCCAGTTGAGGTGGTGAGGCGTTCTGTAAGTGACGGAGCCAGCTGAGGGTTATTCTGAGTGAGACCATCTGTCCTAATATAGCTCTGACTGTCCGTCTGGAACTCACTGAGAATCACAACGCTAACATGCTGCAGCCTGACCTGTGGTGAGGAAACCCTCTCAGGGTTAGGGTCATGAGTCAGAGGTCAAAGGGTCAAATGGGCTGATGACCCTGCTGGAGAGAGGGAGAAATACATCCTTTCCTCAAGTAGAAGTACAGATACTCGTGTTTAAAAATACTCTGGTGAAAGTAGAAGTACTGACTAAACTTCTTTACTCAAGTCAAAGTAAAGAGGCTTTGAAATGTACTTCAGTAAAAAGTACCCATAACTAGCAGCTGTTTTAAAGAGTACCTGACCTCCCTTTATATTAATAGAACAATAATGTCATTGTTAGCTAATGAATGTTTCCATGCTGAACAACGGCAACATGACAACGTTTTCATTGGTCCCTCTTCTTTAGAGAAGACCAGGAAATGATGGATACACGGATCGTGTTCAAATCAATAGGCACGCAATGACTCTAAATAATAATGATCACGCCACCAAACACACATTCAAACTAAAGGAACCAGCCTGTTTGGAAAATGTGAGAAGTAGAAAGTACAGGTATTTGGGTTCAACATGTAAGAAGTAGAAAGTACAGGTATTTGAGTTCAACATGTAGGAAGTAGAAAGTACAGGTATTTGTGTTCAACATGTAAGAAGTAGAAAGTACAGGTATTTGGGTTCAACATGTAAGAAGTAGAAAGTACAGGTATTTGAGTTCAACATGTAAGAAGTAGAAAGTACAGGTATTTGTGTTCAACATGTAAGAAGTAGAAAGTACAGGTATTTGTGTTCAACATGTAAGAAGTAGAAAGTACAGGTATTTGGGTTCAACATGTAAGAAGTAGAAAGTACAGGTATTTGTGTTCAACATGTAAGAAGTAGAAAGTACAGGTATTTGTGTTCAACATGTAAGAAGTAGAAAGTACAGGTATTGGGGTCAACATGTAAGAAGTAGAAAGTACAGGTATTTGTGGTTCAACATGTAAGAAGTAGAAAGTACAGTATTTGTGTTCAACATGTAAGAAGTAGAAAAGTACAGGTATTTGGGTTCAACATGTAAGAAGTAGAAGAGTACAGGTATTTTGGGTTCAACATGTAAGAAGTAGAAAGTACAGGTATTTTGTGTTCAACATGTAAGAAGTAGAAGTACAGGTATTTGGAGTTCAACATGTAGAAGTAGAAGTACAGGTATTTGAGTTCAACATGTAGAAGTAGAAAGTACAGGTATTTGGGTTTCAACATGTAAGAAGTAGAAAGTACAGGTATTTGGTTCAACATGTAAGAAGTAGAAAGTACAGGTATTTGGGTTCAACATGTAAGAAGTAGAAAGTACAGGTATTTAGTGTTCAACATGTAAGAAGTAGAAAGTACAGGTATTAGTGTTCAACATGTAAGAAGTAGAAAGTACAGGTATTTGGGTTCAACATGTGAGAAGTAGAAAGTACAGGTATTTCAAAGTAAAAAGTGGTCAGAAAAATAAGTAGTGGAGTAAAGTACTGATACCAGAAACATGTACTTAAGTACAGTAACAAAGTATTTGTACTCCAATACTTCCCACCTCTGGATAACAGATTATTTAAATAAGTAGGTCAAACCTCACAGGTCACGGGGTCAAATGGCCTTTGACCCCGTGACCTGTGAGGTTTTCTTGTGTTCTTGCCTCTTGGGAGTTAGAGTCATCTTGCAATCTACTTATTGATCTAAACAGTTATCAGTGATCCACAGGGACCTCTGGGAGCACCTCGTTCCCCTCTAATCTCAAGGATCCACAGGGACCTCCGGGTGCACCTCGTTCCCCTCTAATCTCAAGGATCCACAGGGACCTCTGGGAGCACCTCGTTCCCCTCTAATCTCAAGGATCCACAGGGACCTCTGGGAGCACCTTGTTCCCCTCTAATCTCAAGGATCCACAGGGACCTCCGGGAGCACCTTGTTCCCCTCTAATCTCAAGGATCCACAGGGACCTCTGGGAGCACCTTGTTCCCCTCTAATCTCAAGGATCCACAGGGACCTCCGGGTGCACCTCGTTCCCCTCTAATCTCAAGGATCCACAGGGACCTCCGGGTGCACCTTGTTCCCCTCTAATCTCATTCATCCTGCAAAGGGTCTCCATTTCGCATCAGCACTTTACTCGTCTTAACTTTTGGCTTTTCTGTACAGCTTTAATGCAATTTAGCATTTTGCTTTTCGATTTGAGGTTTCTCTATCTCTGTCTCTCATGTTCTACTTTTTATGATGCTATTTTATTTCTATTGAGATGTTTAGATTTTAGATTATTTATTTCTACCATATCTTTGTATGCTGCTGCAACACAAACAATTCTTCACATCTGGATCAATAAAGTCCTTCTTATCTGATCTCATGCTAACTGATGGCCTCACAGAGCGAGCTGAGTGCTTCTTCTCATCTTTGACTTCAAACGTAGAAAACTGGCTTTAAAATCTGCTAAACATCACGATCCAAACCGAGTGATGTGAGTTTGCTTTAGTGGAGAGTTTTAGGAGCAAAAACATGAAAAAAGCAGATTCTTTCTACTTGTTTTCAGCAGTAATCTGGGTTAAAACTGTTCAGTAAAATAGTTGAACATTTTGAATATTTTTGGTAAATAATTGCAATTAAAAAAAGTTGAATATTTAAAAAGAAATTAATTAATATAATTTCAAGAAAAAACGTCATAATATTTGAGTTTAAATACATATTTTTAACGAATTAAATTAAATTAAAAAATCATAATATTTCGATGTAAAAATTCTAAAATATTTGTGAAAAAAAGTTGGAAAAAAGTTGAATATAAAAAAAAATATATATTTTTTTAAAAGCTGCATTTTTGTACTTTTTTGTCCTAGTTTTCACAGTAATCTGTGTTTGCTTATAACTGGCTTTCATGATTAGTTCTCGGAGCAGAAACATTAGAGAAAGCTGCTTTATTGTACTGGTTTCCCAGTGAGTGCATGACGCGTGCCGCAGAGCTCTCTGCTCTCTGTAACGTGACTCTTCAGACTCGATGACGTGTCCTGAAAACCATCCAGCTTTTTACGCCGCTGATAAGTTTAGCTCCCGTTGAGCTGCAGAGAAAACAGGTGCAGACGTTTATTTATGGAGCGAGATCAGAAGTGCACGACACACTTTAAACCACAGACAGAAATAAACCTGAACAATTCAACTATCTGACGAGAAGAACAACGACAAGTGTTTTAAATATCTAAAGCACGGTGTAGAGATCTCTGTAGTTTGACATAAATGTATAAATAGCATTAATTGAAGATTTCTTTCCTGGCAGCAGTTAGCTCCTCTCCTAGCATCACTGTGAGCTTATAAACCGTTGTATTACTCTAAACTACAAATTAGGACAAAAAAGGGCTTTGACTGGAGTGAGCATTTGACTGAAAGGGGACCTATCATGCAAAATGCTCTTTCTGATGTCTTCTCTCCATCACCATGTGTCCCCGGTGTGTCCCCGGTGTGTCCCCGGTGTGTCCCGGTGTGTCTCCGGTGTGTCCCCGGTGTGTCCCCGGTGTGTCCCCGGTGTGTCCCCGGTGTGTCTCCGGTGTGTCCCCGGTGTGTGTCCCCGGTGTGTCCCCGGTGTGTCCCCGGTGTGTCCCGGTGTGTCCCCGGTGTGTCCCCGGTGTGTCCCCGGTGTGTCTCCGGTGTGTCCCCGGTGTGTCCCCGGTGTGTGTCCCGGTGTGTCCCGGTGTGTCCCCGGTGTGTCCCCGGTGTCCCCGGTGTGTCCCGGTGTGTCCCCGGTGTGTCCCCGGTGTGTGTCCCGGTGTGTCCCCGGTGTGTCCCCGGTGTCCCCGGTGTGTCCCGGTGTGTCCCCGGTGTGTCCCCGGTGTGTGTCCCCGGTGTGTCCCCGGTGTGTGTCCCCGGTGTGTCCCGGTGTGTCCCCGGTGTGTCCCGGTGTGTCCCCGGTGTGTGTCCCGGTGTCCCCGGTGTGTCCCGGTGTGTCCCCGGTGTGTCCCCGTGTGTCCCGGTGTGTCCCCGGTGTGTCCCCGGTGTGTCCCGGTGTGTCCCCGGTGTGTCCCGGTGTGTCCCCGGTGTGTCCCCGGTGTGTCCCCGGTGTGTCCCCGGTGTGTCCCCGGTGTGTCAGCGAACTCACGCAGTGTCAGAAAATAAAACCCTCTCTCTTTTCCTCCGTACCCAAATCTCTAAAAACGGGGGAACAACGGAGCTGATCCAGATTTGCGTCCGATATGACGTAATATCTGAAATGTGGACCCACGGCCCTATCAGAAACGTTGCTATCAGAAACAATGCCCGACTGTTTTGGACGTAATATGGTCTGTGTTTACATTAGCATCGCTAACACTCAGAGCTAACCTGTACTGGAGAGCATGTGTGTGAAGAAGCAGGAAATAAAAAGGAACTCACCTTGTGGTATAACCGGCAAGAGAGAAAGCCTTTGAGCTCCATACTGTTTCAGAGAGAATCCTTGATGATCCATGATATGGCGTTTCATCACGGCAGCATTTAGTTTAGACAGTAGCTGCCGGGTCCCGCATGAGCTCAGACCCCTCCTTTTTATTTTTAAAGCTGTATACCCAGAATCAGCACTTTTGAAACAGGAAGTGAAACAGAGGGATATGAGGCATGGCTAGAATGATCTGTTTGGTGTTTTGAGCAAAACACTTCATAGACATGTTTTTTATATATTTGTATACATCTGAGACCTATGCTGTTGCCTAAAGATACCATGATAGCTGACCTTTAATTTGTAATGTCTGGAGTAGAGAATGGGAATGTTTGGTGAATGAAAAGATGGAATATTTTCAGTAAAATCGTTGAACATTTTGAATATTTTTGGTAGATAGTTGAAATAATTGCAATTTAAACATTGAATTAATAAGTTAAAAAAGTAGAATATTTCAAAAAGAATAAATGAATATAATTTCTAGAAAAAATAAAATAAATATTTGGAAATAAAAATGTATAAAAATGTGTGAAAAAGTTGTAAAAACTGTAGAATAAATAAATGTTTTTAACAAATAAAACACAGATAAAGAAATTGTAATATTTTGTAATAAAAATTCTAAATATTTATTAAAAAAAAGTTGTAAAATCTAATATTTTTAACGAATAAAACAAAAATAAAAAGATGTGTGATGAAAAAGCCTGACCACACGTCTCTCTGTCTCCCCCTGCAGGGCGAACAGGAAGTGAAGACGGTTGCTCCGGGCATCGAACCGGCAGAACCTTCAGGCTCCGCCCCCAGAGCCGCAGACGTGGAACCGGATAAGTTCGACTTCCCTCCAGAATCAGACGAGGAGTGCATGGTCGTAGAAGAAGAAACGGCCGAATCCTCCGCGGCCAAAATGAAGAAGTCAGGTCTCACTCGCATCGAGAGCTTCAAAGCTAACATGAGCAAGACCCGGGAGAACCTCGGGAGCAAAGTCAACAAACTGGGAGAAAGAATCGTGACGGCCGAGCGACGCCAGAAAATCCGACAATCTGGAGAACGCCTGAAGGAGACAATCAGCAAAAGTGTTCCTGCCAAGTTGAAGAAGGAAAGAACGGTGGCAGAAGGTCAAGAAGGAGCCATGGAAGGAGCCATGGAAGGAGCCATGGAAGGAGCCAATGAGGAGACTAATGAGGCGACCAATCAGAAGGCAGCTCCTGTGTTGCCGCCCAAAGGAAGGAAGGGAAAAGCAGTGAAGGAGAACGAGGAAGAGGCGGAGGAAGAGGTGCCAATGTACGATATGAAACAGCTGTCGTAGAAAACTGAGATCAGGAAGAGCGACTTTATTCACAAATCAGGAATCTGAGTCGACATCAACGAGGATTCTTTCCGTCATCCAACACCTGGACTTGAAATCATCTGATTTATATATCGTTTATTCGTGTTGTTCACGTGAACCCAGTATCACCGTTTGCATGTTGGAGAGGTGGGTCACACTGTAACTGCTTCCTGGTACGTGTGGATGTTCTGCACCCAGTGGTGAGGGAGACCCGGAAGGTTTGATCGACCCCTAAATGAAGTGGAGTTAAGTGATAAAAGCCTGATGCGTTAAGGACCCCTACATGTCCATTTCATGTCCTCAAATGACCCAAAATACTCACTTTAAGAAGATATTGTGAAAAAGGAAAGCAGCAAATCTCCATGTTCTGTTTTTAATCTGTGTAGTGAGTTAGTTAGATATTTAAAAAGGAGTATTTTATAAAGCTTTACCATTAGTAAAACTTTAAAGAAAGTGCCATCAGAGTCCAGGTTTAAGTTATTGATTGATAAACATCCTATAATCGTATTTAAAATGAGTTTTGTATAAAGTTTTAGAGTGATGTATTTACATAAAGACTTGTAGCTAAAGATCAGTATTTTATTTTGAAGGACACTTTTTGGGTTAACACAAGAACTGAAATAAGTCTAGGTGCTTTTATTTTGAAGGACACTCACTGTTTTGGGTCAAATCAAGAACTGGGAGCTTTTATTTTGAAGGGAATTCATTGTATGGGTAAACGTAAGAAAATAAATAAGTCTGGGGGCTTTTATTTTGAAGGACACTCAGTGTTTTGGGTAAACACAAGAACTGAAATAAATCTGAGTGCTTTTATTTTGAAGGGCACTCACTGTATGTGTAAACACAAGAACTGGGTGCTTTTATTTTGAAATACACTCACTGTTTTGGGTAAACACAAGAACTGAAATAAGTCTGGGTGCTTTTATTTTGAAGGACACGCACTTTTTAGGTAGATACAAGAACTGAAATAAGTCTAGGTGCTTTTATTTTGAAGGACACTCACTGTTTTGGGTAAACACAAGAACTGGGTGCTTTTATTTTGAAGGACACTCACAGTTTTGGGTAAACACAAGAACTGGTTGCTTTTATTTTGAAGGACACCCACTGAATGGGTAAACACAAGAACTGGGTGCTTTTATTTTGAAGGACACCCACTGAATGGGTAAACACAAGAACTGAAATAAGTCTAGGTGCTTTTATTTTGAAGGAAATTCAATTTTTGTGCGATCAGAAGAACTGAGAGTGCATTTATTTTGTCAAATACAGACATGTTTAGAATTTACTGTTAAAATGATTATTATGAATTGTTTTTTTCTGTCTTTTATTTTGAAGGGATCGTTTAGTTTTAGAGCTAATAATACATCAAATCTACAAACGACGTCAGAAAGCTGGAAATAAGTCAGTTTCTTTCTGAGGGTTTTTCCACCTCACTTCTTCTGGTAGGAAACCGTGAATTTGATGTTTTAAAAAATCACAATTTCTACAGATTAGTTGGTGTTTTTAGGGTTTAGTTAGCGAGTGACTGCATGGCTGTAGAGAGATATATTATATAAGGTGTGTTTGACTGTCAAAATAAAGTTCACGTGAGTCATTTCTGTAACCAACGTCACGTCTGCTTTTTTAATCCATTAAATTAAAGCTAGTTTATATACAATTCATAACAACAATAAGCTCCAAATGACTGTATTGATCAGTGACTCATATTGATCAGTGACTCAGATATATATGTTAGGGTGTTTTAACAGCTTGTAAAAAGTCAGATTTAAGTGTTTTAATGCCTCTCAGAATTCAATTTAAGACTCACAAACTATGAGAGCTTCTGGTTCTGCTTTTTGCATCCGTTTGATGTTTAACTATTAAAAAATTCAAAGAAATATATTTATTAATTTGATATATTACAATGCATTTTTAAGTCTTCTGAAAGATTATTTAAAATACAATTATCTTTGTATTTAATGCATAAAGACTTTAAGGATTTCTCTCAGGTTTAAAGTAAGCCTGTCAGCGCCCTCTGGTGGACACACTCTGTAATACAGGCACAATACATTTATTAAAATAAGGACAAATTCCTTCAAATTAAAAACAGTAACTGAGTAAATGTACTTTCCTCTTGTAATAGTCATAGAAGTTACAGTTTAATAAAACTCTTTATTATAAACAGATAAAAGTAAAAAAAACGATTTAAATGTAAACTTTTTATTTATGTGGCATTTTCAGAAAGTGCTTTTATGTTTATCCTCCTTGTAATACTTTCATTAAAAGAGTTGAAACTGGTTTTTCAGATTTTTCTGACCGGCCCTGAATGCACCACAAAGGCCCAATGTTGACAAAAGTGAAAAAATACATGTTTTTTTAATTTAATGAACATTTTTGGAGGATTTAGCATCAAGATATCTGGTAGAAAAATAAATCAATCTAAATATCACATGGAGGTTTGTGGACGAGGGTCACTTTGCTGCCAATCTGAACTCCTTCTCAAACTAAACCCTCCGTTATAAATCGTGTATTTACCGCCCGTCCTTCCTCTTCTCTGGAGTCCCGTCTTCCAGCTTCAGTGTCTTTAAAACGTCCAAAAGACCCTCGGACTTTGTGAGTTCCTCCTCTTTTTAGGGGTCTTTGTTCCACGTTGGGGAACACAGGTTTACCCCCGGCTTCACAGAGAGGCGATGGTTCCTGCAGAGTTCCTACGCCACAGCGGGGATGAAATACTGCAGCGACACGTCCTCGTGCAGCAGGATGAGGTGCACCACCCGCTCGTGCACGATATCTGAGGGGGAGGAGGAGGAACACGTAACCAGAGGAGCAAGAGACCGGCTTTTTGGGGGGATTTTAGTGCTTTTTCACTGAAATATGCTTTAGAGAACAGACTAGCTTCATTCTGCACCTGAAGGGTCTTTGACATATCTTTGAATAAAAGGCGTCTCTGCAGATCATATGAATCCAGTGTAAGGACCACATTAACCATTACATTAATGTACATTATATCTGTTTTTTGTATTACTGCACATATTTTACATTTGATTCCATTTCAATGTAAATTCTGCTATATTTTATTATATATTTTATGGTATTATAGTTTTCTTAAAATAGTTCTCTATCTGTGTTTTACATTTTAGTTTTACTTTTACACCACCAAGTCAAATTCCTCGTACGTGTCGACCTAATTCATTTTCTCACATTTTTTAAACATGAAATATTCCCAATGTTCCCAGAATGTCATTTGAACACCTCTTATTTTAGTTTGACTTTACAGCAGGCTCAATATTATATATATATATATATATATACAGTTATATATATATATATATATATATATATGTTATATATATATATATATATAATATATAAGTGTACTATATGACACAGGGGAAGCAGCTTGTTCCATTTAATGCATTACAACTGAAGTTCATTGGCATTCATTTGTAGTTCTCTGAGAGACAAGCAGAGCACGTGTGAGACTAAAGCACGAGGATCATCGTCTTACTGGATTCTTTCAGTTTTTTAATTTCTTTTTTAAATTGTTTTATTTTAATTTCTTGTCAGCTTTAATTCAAGGGAATTTCATACAGATCACTGTTGATGTTTTTATCTTCTTCTCTATGTATTGAATATGTTCTGTAAAGCACTTTGTGAGAGGTGAGGGAGGGGCTCCACAGAGACAGAGTGGGGGTCTTACTGCACATGGCCTTGCTGGGGTTGACCTGCTGACCCATGAGGAACTGCTGCAGCTTCCTGATGTCTACCCGAGTCTGAGCCATGGTGTCTGGGTCTCTGCTCTGAGAGGGACCCCCCTGCTGAGAAGCTTCATCCCCTGGAGGAGAGAGAGGAGAGAGGGGAGAGAGAGGGGGGAGAGAGGGGAGAGAGGGGAGAGAGGAGAGGAGAGAGGAGAAGGGGGGAGATGAGAGA